TCAAAGGGACCCCTAAAGAAGGACAATGATATGTTACATGTTCCAGAGTGGGAAAACCAGACAATCTCCACATCAACACTGGCAAAGAAACAACAAGAAATACTGTTTACCCTCAAGCATAAAGACATTACATATATTAGAAACCAACACATTCTCGTTACTTCATTTCCAGATCACCAGACTGGGCCACAGCAACGCGTGGCAGGGGACAGCTAGTATCAGATATTTACATTAGGATTCATAACAGTTGCAAAATTACTGTTATGAAGTAGCAATGAAAATAATTTTAGGGTTGGGGGTCACCACAACAGGAGGAACTATAATTTTAGCCGTCTGTTTGGAATAAATAGCTGTTATGGCATTCAGAAAGTAGTGGCCAACATCCATTTCTTTCAGTGTTTGTACCATACACCCCCAGTTGGAATTGTCAAAAGCCTTCTCGGCATCAAGGAAAAGTAGCCCTACTACTTTTTTTTTGCGGTCCCCCCCCCCCCCATAATATTCTATAATGTCTAGAATTATTCTCATATTGTCTTTCAGCTGTCTATTCGGAAGGAACCCACTTTGTTCTTCTTTTATTCTCTTTTGCAGCAATCTTGTTAGTCTATTTGCTAGTATAGTTGCAAATACCTTGTAGTCAGTGTTCAGCAACGAGATAGGTTGGTAGTTTTTTAAGTTGGTGGGGTCTGTATTATCTTTATGAATTAAAGTTATATGAGCATCTTGCTATGTTTTCGGCATACTAGTCCCTGCCAGTATATTATTCATCACCTCCTTCAAATGGCCGGATAGTTCTTCTTTAAATATTTTATAGTATTGGGATGTTAAACCATCTGGCCCGGGGGCTTTATTGTTTGCTAATTTGTCTATTGTTTTTTTAACTTCCTCCTCTGTTACTGGATTGTTTAAGACTCCTCTTTCTAGGTTGGATATTTTCCCTAATTTTTGAGGAATACGGGAGGAACAGTATTAAAGGGTCGCGGCATTAGGAAGGTTGGGAAACACTGGGTTAGTTGAACTATTCTTCCATGTAGGCCAACATCAATGCTCATGTATTCAAGTCCCCCAAAATATTTTTTCTAAGCTCTGCTCCATTCCCAACAGAGACAAGCTAGAAGGTCTCCAGAGAAGGGTGACTAAAAGGGTCAAAAGTCTGGCAACCTTGAATCACTATAAGGAGCAGCTTAGGGAGCTGGAGATGTTTAGCTTGAATCCTAGAGTTGGAAGAGACCTGGTGGGCCGTCCAGTCAAACCCCATTCTGCCAAGAAACAGGAAAATCACATTCAAAGCAGCCCTGACAGATGGCCATCCAGCCTCTGTTTAAAAGCCTCCAAAGAAGGAGTCTCCACAACACTCTGGGGCAGAGAGTTCCACTGCTGAACAGCTCTCACAGTCAGGAAGTTCTCCCTAATGTTCAGGTGGAATCTCCTTTCCTCTAGCCATTGTTCTTAGAAGAAGAAAAGGTTGAGAGGGGACACGGGTGACATGCTTTAGTATTTGAATATTTAATATTATTTATTAAATTTATTAAATACTAGCCGTCCCCTGCCATGCATTGCTGAGGCCCACATGGGGGTTTTGTGTGGGAGGTTTGGCCCAATTCTATCGTTGGTGAGGTTCAGAATGCTCTTTGACTGTAGGTGAACTATAAATCCCAGCAACCACAACTCCCAAATGTCAAGATTCTATTTCCCCAAACTCCACCAGTGTTCATATTTGGGCATATTGAGTATTCTTGTAGAGTTTGGTCCAGATCCATCATTGTTTGAGTCCACGGTCATCTTTGGATGTAGGTGAACTACAACTCCAAAACCAAAGGACACTGCCCACCAAACCCTTCCAGTATTTTCTGTTGGTCATGGGAGAATTGTGTGCCAAGTCTGGTTCAATTCCATCCTTGGTGGGGTTCAGAATGTTCTTTGAATGTAGGTGAACTATAAATCCCAGGAACTACAACTCCCAAATGACAAGATCATTTTTTTTAGTGAAGGACATACATTGGTTTGTTAGGTGTCTTGTGTCCAAACTTGGTGTCAATTCGTCCAGTGGTTTTTGAGTTCTGTTAATCCCACAAATGAACATTACATTTTTATTTATATAGATTTAATATTTAATATTAATATTTAATATTCCTTATATCAAGGAAGGGTTAAGCTTGTCTGGTGTCACTCCAAAGAAATATGGAAGACTTTTCCAACACAGCAATATGTCTATCTAGAAAGGATCGCCACTGGGTATACCTCACATTCGAGGCCACAAGAGAGCGTTAGTGGCCAAGCTTTGGCAAAACTAGCCAATTCCTTCTTTAAAAGACACAACAGTTTCTATTCAAATGCATCCAGAACATCCATTTTTATTGAACCAGTAATTCTTTGGGGACTGAGACTTTGGATATTGAGGCTAGGACTATTTCCAGTTGGGAAACATAACCATTTATTCCACTTGATGGGGGTGTTCAGACTGTAAAATGAATGTAGTTTGACTCCACTTTAATTGCCTTGGCTCAACAATAAGGTGAAAACAGAAGAACGGTCTGCCTCAGAGGAGCATGCTTGCTCCATCAATGAGTAACATTTACACAAATGCTTAGCCACTGCCAGAAGGGACAAAGAGTTTCATCTATGCCAACGATCACGCCATCACCGCTCAAGCAGGGAGCTTTGAAATGGTTGAACAGAAGCTCTCTGAAGCTTGAGGTGGTCTTACTGCCTATTATAGGGAAAACCAGCTGATTCCTATTGTTAACATTTACACAAATGACCAGTCACTGCCAGAAGGGACAGAGAGTTTCATCTATGCTGACGATCATGTCATCACCGCCCAAGCAGGGAGCTTTGAAATGGTTGGACAGAAGCTCTACAAAGCTTTAGGTGCTCTTACTGCCTATTACAAGGAAAACCAGCTGATTCCTAATGTTTTAACATTTACACAAATGACCAGCCACTGCCAGAAGGGACAGAGAGTTTCATCTATGCCGACGATCACGCCATCACCGCAAAAGCAGGGAGCTTTGAAATGGTTGAACTGAAGATCTCCAAAGCTTTAGGTGCTCTTACTGCCTATTACAAGGAAAACCAGCTGATTCCTAATGTTTTAACATTTACACAAATGACCAGCCACTGCCAGAAGGGACAGAGAGTTTCATCTATGCCGACGATCACGCCATCACCGCCCAAGCAGGGAGCTTTGAAATGGTTGAACAGAAGCTCCCTGAAGCTTTAGGTGGTCTTACTGCCTATTATAGGGAAAACCAACTGATTCCTAATGTTTAACAGCTACTGCCAGAATGGACAGAGAGTTTCATCTATGCCGACGATCACGCCATCACCGCTCAAGCAGGGAGCTTTGAAATGGTTGAACAGAAGCTTGAGGTGCTCTTACTGCCTATTACAGGGAAAAATAGCTGATTCCTATTGTTAACATTTACACAAATGACCAGCCACTGCCAGAAGGGAAAGAGAGCTTAATCTATGCTGATGATCGTGCCATCACCACTCAAGCAAGCAGCTTTGAAATGGTTGGACGGAAGCTCTCTGAAGCTTTAGGTGGTCTTACTGCCTATTACAGGGAAAACCAACTGATTTCTATTGCTAACATTTACACAAATGACCAGCCACTGCCCGAAGGGACAGAGAGCTTCATCTATGCTGATGATCGTGCCATCACCACTCAAGCAGGGAGCTTTGAAATTGCTGAACAGAAGCTCTCTGAAGCTTTAGGTGATCTTACTGCCTATTACAGGGAAGACCAACTGATTCCTAATCCATCTAAAACAGTGGTTCTCAACCTGGGGTCCCCAGATGTTTTTGGCCTACAACTCCCAGAAATCCCAGCTAGTTTACCAGCTGTTAGGGTTTCTGGGAGTTGAAGGCCAAAAACATCTGGGGACCCCAGGTTGAGAACCACTGATCTAAAACACATGTTTTCCATGTTAAGAATAGACAAGCATCTTGAGCTCTGAGGATGACCTGGGAAGGAATCCCACTGGAGCATTGCAGCACACTCAAATACCTGGGATTCACCCTGGACCGTGCTCTGACTTACAAGAAGCACTGATTTACTATCAAGCAAAAAGTGGGCGCTAGAAATAATATTGTACGAAATGCGCAACCTGGGGATCACAACCAGACACAGTGAAGACATCTGCCTTTGTGGTTTGCTATTCTGTTGCTGTGTACACATGCCCAGTGTGGAATACATCTCACCATGTTGAAATAACGGATGTGGCTCTTAATGAGACATGCCGCATCATATCACAGGATGACTACGTCCTACACCGCTGGAGAAATTATACTGTTTAGCCGTTATTGAAACCACCCCGAGTCCCCTTTGGGGAGATGGTGGCGGGGTATAAATAAAGTTTATTATTATTATTATTATTATTATTATTATTATTATTATTTATAATACTTTATTTATACACCTCCCTATCTCCCCTTGGGGACTCAGAGCTGTTTCCACATATGTAAAATAATACAACTAAAGTGGTACTAAACTGAATTAATTCTACAGTGTAGATGCACTTCCATATGGAAGGAACAGGAAGAGTCTGCTTCAAAACGGGCCGGATGGCACTTGACTTCTACAGATGGCTTTCTACCAACATCTTTGTTATGTTCGATGTGCCACCGCTCTGCCGCCTTAACCCTAAATGTCAGATCGTGCGGCTTTTAAATAGCGTTTACATTCCCCCAGCTATAATGGAAATCCACCCCCTCCTTTTGTTCTAGATCTCTGCTTTTCCCCCTTTCCTTGTTCTGTGACCCTTATAAAGGTGGAGAGCTCTGGGCCCAGGAACCCGGCCCGATCTCCGGCCAGCGATGTGATTTCCGCCTCATTAATTTCTCTCTCAAACTTTAACCCCTCTGGGTGCCCCCTCCCCTGCTGCCATTCACTGCCAGCCTTCTCTCCCTCCTCTTGCTGTTCTTTTCTCTCTCTTTCACACTCCCCAACTCCTCCTTCTGCCCGATTGTCCCAGCCACCGCCGTCCCCGGATAGGCCCGCCACAAGTGTCCATCACCTCCCCCAAAACACCCCCTCCTTTAAAAAAATATAATCCTTTCATTCAATTGAACTTGGGCAAAGTTTTGTAAGAGGTGGAGAAAGGGGGGAAGGAGGGATAAAATCCATGGGGGAGACTGGGCCGGCGCTCAGAGCCGAGCGAACACTTCTCTGATGCTGGACACCGCGTTGGGAAGCCCCTTGCGGTCTTCTCCTCATGACTCGTTGCAGCTGAAGCTTGCCTTTTGGACCTCCAAACTTGGCACCTGAGGAACCCCTTCATCTCATAGAAGAAGAGGAGAAGGAGTAAGAAGAAAGTGTTGGAGAAAGTGACCAAGTTGTTTTGCATCGTGGAAAAACTCCCGTCAACTTCTACTCCACCTGATTTGCTCTTCCACCTTCTTCCAGGATCAAGGTAAGAAGGGTTCACATGATGGAAGGTGACTCTTGGAGATGGAAGGTAGAGAGAAGGTCTAATGTTGAGGTGGGTGGATGGTATAATGTTCACCAAAAGGCAGGTCTTGATAGTCCACATATGGGCTATCTAAAAATACAACATGGAGAAGGTTAGAAGAAGGACCTTTCTGTGCACCACCCGCTGGGTACTCCAAAAGCTCAGTGTCATCATCTATAAAGTTAGGTTCTTACCATTCCAAATCCAATTGACCTCAAAACATTTCAATTGGAGAGGAAAGGTAGAGAGAAAGTCTAATTTTGAGGTGGGTGGATGGTATGTTCAGCAAGATGTAGGTCTTGATAGTCCACCTATGGACTATCTAAGAAGACAACATGGAAAAGGTTAGAAGAAGGACCTTTCTATGCACCATCCGTTGGAAACTCTAAAAGCTCAGGGTGATCATCTATAAGGTCAAATTCTTATCATTCCAAATCCAACTGATCTCAAAACATTTCAATTGGAGAATAAAGGTAGAAAGAAAGTAATTTTGAGGTGGATGGATGGTATCATGTTCAGCAAGAAGCAGGTCTTGATAGTCCACCTATGGGCTATCTAAGAAGACAACATGGAGAAGGTTAGAAGAAGGACCTTTCTGTGCACCATACACTGGAAGCTCCAAAAGCTTAGGGTGATCATCAATATGGTTAAGTTCTTACCATTTCAAATCCATCTGACCTCGAAACATTTCAATTGGAGAGGAAAGGTAGAGAGAAAGTCTAATTTTGAGGTGGGTGGATGGTATCATGTTCAGCGAGATGCAGGTCTTGATAGTCCATCTGTGAACTATCTAAGAATACAACATGGAGAAACTCCAAAAGTTCAGAGTGATCATCAATACGGTTAAGTTCTTACCATTCCAATTCCAGCTGACCTCAAAGCATTTCAATTGGAGAGGAAAGGCAGAGAGAAAGTCTAATGTTGAGGTGAGTGGATGGTATCATATTCAGCAAGATGCAGGTCTTGATAGTCCATCTGTAAACTATCTAAGAACACAACATGGAGAAACTCCAAAAGCTCAGGGTGATCATCTATAAGATTAAGTTCTAACCATTCCAATTCAAGCTGGCCTCAAAACATTTCAATTGGAGAGGAAAGGTAAAGTCTAGTTTTGAGACAGATGGTTGGGAAGGTTCAGTAAGATGTTGGTCTTGATAGTCCGCCTATGGACTATCTAAGAAGACATGGAGAAGGTTAGATGAAGGATCTTTCTGTGCACCATTTGCTGGAAACTTGAAATGCAGGTCTTGATAGTCCACCTATGGACTATCTAAGAAGACATGGAGAAGGTTAGAAGAAGGACCTTTCTGTGCACCATCCACTGGAAACTCCAAAAGCTCAGAGTGATAATCTATATGGTTCTTACCATTCCAAATCCAGCTGACCTCGAAACATTTCAATTGGAGAGGAAACGTAGAGAGAAAGTCTAATTTTGAGGTGGGTGGATGGGAATGTTTTGCAAGATGCAGGTCTTGATAGTGCACTTATGGATTATCTAAGAAGACAACATGGAGAAGGTTAGAAGGAGGACCTTTCTGTGCACCATCCACTGGAAACTCCAAAAGCTCAGGGTGGTCATCTATAAGGTTAAGTTCTTACCATTCCAAATCCATCTGACCTCGAAATCTTCTTTAGATCTTGCTAGGAACCTTCGTCAGATCTTTCTTCTTCCCAACCTTCTTCTCGATCAGTGGGCTCTCAATCTTCCTAATGCCACCACCCCTTAATACAGTTCCTCATGTGGTGGAGACACCCAACCATAACATTATTGTCATTTCTACTTCACAACTATAATTTTGCTCCTGTTATGAATCATCATGTAAATATCTGATACGCAGGATGGATTTTCATTCACTGGACCACAATTTGGCATAAATACCTGATACACCCTAATTTGAATACTGGTGAGGTTGGGGGGGGGTGATTTTGTCATTTGGGAGTTGTAGTTGCTGGGATTTATAGTTCACCTACAATCAAAGAACATTATGAACCCCACCAATGATGGAATTGAACCAAAGCTGGCACACAGAACTCCCATGAGCACCAGAAAATATTGGAAGGGTTTGGTGGGAATTGACCTTGAGTTTGGGAGTTGTAGTTCACCTACATGCAGAGAGCGCTATGGCTCAAACAATGATGGATCGGGGCCAAACTTGGCATGAATTCTCTATATACCTAAATATGAACACTGGTGGAGTTTGGGGAAAAATAGACCTTGGCATTTGGGAGTTATAGTTGCTGGGATTTATAGTTCACCTACAATCAAAGAGCTTTCTGAACCCCACCGACAATAGAATTGGGCCAAACTTCCCACACAGAACCCCCACAACCAACAGAAAATGCTGTTTTGTGATGGTCTTTAGCAACCCCTTTGATACCCCAGGTTGAGAAACACTGATCTAAGAAGACCACATGGAGAAGGTTAGAAGAAAGACCTTTCTGTGCAACATCCGCTGGAAAC